TGCGTGCGTGTGTGTGTGTGTGTACACAAAAAGGTAGAGACAAAGAAAAATACATGCGGGGTGAGTTTAGAAAAGAATTATATTTGTGGGGGAGGGGGCCATCCAAGTTCTGCAGTCCCATTTCCTCCTAACTATCAAAAATTTTCCTTTGCTTTTTTCTTTTTCTCTTTCTAATTTGACCTTATTTTCTCCCTCCTTCCAATTATATTTCCCCTGAGCTGCTTCTGCTCTCCAAGTTAGACCTACGTTGGATTTAAATCTAAACCTCTCCCCTTTTTTTTCAAATAACTGCAGGAGCTTTACCCAAGTTTCATTCCCTGTACCCCACTTTCCTAAGAACCCTCACCAACTGCCCTTTTCCAGGTCTGTCCTCTACCTCTCGCAAATGACATCGTTTCTCTTCAGATAGAACTGTCATACATCTGTCTTTGAGAACTAAAGGAATCTTTTAACTTTTTATTACCTATTAAATCAAAATTAGTTCTGGTCACTAATAGGCCCAAGTGGAGTCACTGATAAAAAATGACCAGAGTCCAACATCAAGAACCTTTGGAAAGCAGTGTTACACAGAGGTGTACATCACAGAAGGCCTCTTTTAACGTGCACTCCCCAGGGAAGAAGGAAGAACCGGGCCCACCACATGGAAGTAGCTGGTGCACACACTCAGCGAAAGCAGGGCTTCAGCCCCGAGTCATTTCAGATTCCACCTTGTGCCTCTCTGTGGGCTGCCCATGTTCTCTGGTGAGCAGAGAAAAAGTCTGAAAAAGAATGTCTCCCTTAAAAATCGCCCTCTTCCTCACATAGTCTAGTTGATATATTTATAAACGTCCTTTGAATGGCTTTCAAACCATGTAGTTTTCTACTTATATAGATTTAGGCCCATTAAAGTCATTGGTTTATTAGAATTCAACTTAGATGTTTAATACCAAATCCAAAATGAAAATTTGGTCTGCCCTTAACTGATGTGCTGAATGTCCCATTAGCTAACTAGTAATTGTACTGGGATGTCCGCTGGCTAAGAGCTGGGTTTAATCCCCAGCTGGAGGTTCAAAAGCTTTGTTCAGATTTATCATCAGTCTTCCAAGCCACCCCATTCTGGACAATGGCTCGTGTCCCATTTGGATTGCATTAAGCCACATATGGACATGCTCCTTACATACAGCAAGTGCTTTCTGACCCTTGTTAGCAGAGACTCGTCAAGATGGAAAAAGGCAAGAAAAAAGTAAACAGCGTGTGCAGTGTGGTCCTGAGAAAGGGTGCATCCTTTCTCAGCTTCTCAAACCTACAAGTCAGATAAAACGCAGGCAAAAGTGCGGCACCGAGTCCTCTGATGGGCTGCAACTGGCTGCAGAGAGGACCATAGAGTGCACTTCAGACAGCAGTCCGTGCTCTCAAATGGAGGCAGCAAGCCTCTACCGGAAACTAGCCTTCTCTGTCCCTGGGAACTAGGCATGAGTAATTCTTTGCAGTTAACAAGTTAGGCATCCTAGAATATACAGAGTTTTTGCTTGTTTCACTGGTTTTTTTAAATGAATGGTCCATCAGGATAAGTGCAGCATCCAGAAATGAGGGCCATCCTATTAAGTACCCCTGATTAACTTTCCTCTTATCAATCTATAAAGAGGAAAAAGAAATCAAACTTCTTCTTTCTTTTTAAAATATCTTTCTGTAATTATTTTTAACATTCAATATTTATCCAGATTAACCATAGTGCTTGCCTTACTGCTCCCCTTTTGGTCTTGTGGGTTAAATGAAAACTTTCTCTACCAACTATTAATAAAATCTCTTGGGTGACTTCCAAGATGCCTCTGTCATATAAAATTCTATTCTGTCTTTATTTTGAACAATTTTAGAGTGAATCCTGTATGAATTAAATGGAAATGCATTGGAAATAAAGTATGCATTGTCATTCTAAAGCTATGTCCCAGGAAAACACTTTGTGGTGGATTTGTCATTTAACATGATAGTTGTGTCGCCAAAAAAATGAGTGATTCAGGTGCTATTTTTCACACTAGCAAAGACATTAGCTTTAAAAAAAAAATCCATTAAGATCTTTGTCATATTGATCAAATCATAATATAGGAGCCAAAATCAGAAATTGAGAGGAAGCCATATCCCTCTCCCTGGACACTCTGTGTCAGATCCTTTCCTGTCCCTCCTCCTACATGACTTCAGTTGCCAAATCCTGTCCACCCCAAGTTCATGAGGCTTCCTGTGCCGATCCACTGTGTAAGGGCCTGCAGTCTTCTACCTGGACTTTTGCCTTCTGCACTGTTCCTCGCAATCATCGTCTTATCACTCTCCTCTAACTGACCACGGGTTTGAAGATGACTTTTAGAGTCAAAGATTAAGAATCAATACTATGACTTCCTTTTCATTGAGTGGTTAGTGTCATTTGTTTAGCATTTTATGTGTGAAAAATGATGTTGGACTGAGTGGAAAGCTAACAAATTTGAAATACACCATTGGTCCAGGCTGATTTTTTATTGTTTCTTTAGTCTGAAATCTTAATTAAATTCATTCAAATATAAACAAAGAGCAAGTAACACTTGTAGATGCCTACACTATGCCAGGCTCTGCACCTGACAGGGGTCAAGAAAGACATAGGCCCATAGTCAAGGGACAATGGAAAAAAGGCAAATTAATCAATGACTATATAAAAATATTTTAACACTCTTATAGGTGTAGTCATGGATGATAAGATAATAATAATAAAAAACAATGCAAATAATAACAATGACGTGAATGTAACTTGAATCCTCGCTGAGAGGCAGGTACTCAGATAAGTGTTTTACATGTTTTATCTAATTTAATGTTTATAGCCAATCTACCTAGTAGGTACAATTATTATCTCCACTGAACTGATGAAACTTGGAGCTGGAAAGGTTAAGAAACTTGTCCAAACTAACAGCCAGAAAGGAGGAGAGCTAGGATTTGAATCCAGTTTGTGGTTAGAATGCAGTTCTAACCTCAAAGCCCCATTCTTTTTTTTTCCTCCATAGACTCTAACTTCACTCTGGCTGCGATTAAGGCTCAAAGCCCCATTCTTAATGGCCCTGTCTGCATCTGCTGCAACAGAGACAGGCTCACACCATGGACGTGCAAGGTTCTCGCTCGAAACTGGAGATGCAGGAGGGGAGCTTTGAAAATGAAAGTCATTAACAAAGTATTTGAAATGTTGGTAATGTTAGGAACAAACCCATTTCATTTGCCAAAGTTTCAGGTAAAAGACAAAGCTCTTGAATGGAGAATTTCAGGAAATATGTTTGGGAGTAAATAGTTTTCCTGAGATCATATACAACAGTCCTGAGTTAGTGGGTTTCTTTGGCTACCATTTTATTTTACAAACAAGTTCATAAGGAATAAAGCACCTTTATTTTCATTGGGAAAGACTGAGTTAATTATTTAAAGTTAATTAAGTGAAGCTGTTACAAGCTGAGTCTACCATACAAATCCATCTGAGGAAGTACTATCATGCAGTTTGAATGTGAAGGATAAAGGAATTAAAGGACAGGGTGAGGGGTGCTCTAGGAAGAAAATCAGGAAATGGTCCTTAGTCTAAACTACCTTGCTACTGCTAAAAAAAAATGAGAGAGAGAGAAAGTGAAAAAACAAAACGTAGCAGGGATTTTTAGCCACAGGAATATGTTTTCTATGTGCCATTTCCAAAACTGCCCTTCCTATTATTGAATGTCATGGACATGTTTTAGCTCTTTATTATAGCCCTGCAACTTAGCTTGTAGACTCTCTGGATCCTTTTCCTGTTTTCCTTTCTTCCAGCTTCCAATTAATTTTTGTCTTTTTCACCAGTTCTTAGTTCTTTTAGAGAATGAGCATATAACATAAAATAGGAAAATCAAACTGATCTTTTTTTCCCCAGTGGGTGCAGGGTGTGGTCAAGACTGGGACAACAGTTACCGACTACAGTGAGAGCTGGCGTAGCATCCGCATTGTGTTGTTTTTGTCTCCCTGTTCCTCTCTCTCTCCACTGAGACTATTAAGTCCTTGATGTAAGGACCGTATGTTTTCATTTCTCTTTCCCCCGTACATGGTTCAATATTTAATACAGAGAAGGCATGGATAGAAGAAACTATTCCTTGAATGAAGGAGTGAATCAATGAATGAATGAAACAACAGAAATGGCAACACTCCTATTGTTACCGTGACAACACTCCTATTGTTACCATGACAACACTCATGTTGTTACCTCACTCTCCTCCACTAATTACTCCAGTAACTACTTCCAGGGTAGCTCCTCAAGGCCAAGAACGTGTCGATTTTTTTCTCCAAAAACACATGTAAATTCTCAGGCAGCGGTATAAACCGGTATTTTCTTTTCCCCACAAAACTCTATGAGTTATCAGAAATAGTTTAGGAAGCAGAACGCTATATATCCATCCCTGTTTGGTTTTGTTTTTAGAGTAGTGGAACAAGAATGGAATGTTACACTATTTCTTTCCATCAAAGAATAATCTAATCTTGCAAAGATAGTTACCAAAGTCAATAACGATTCCTACTCGGAAGACAAATCGCGTCTGAATTGGATTAAAGTGAAACGAAAGTGCCGGATGCAGCTGTGTCAGTGCGGGGCTCAGTGTTTAAGGCTTCATTACAACCTTAAGTGGAATATCTGTATTTTTCCTGTGTGTAATGAAGCCACGAACAACCAGCTCTTTGTTGAGTGATATCGGAGATATTTCTGGTTTTAACTTGATGTATTTTAATTCGTGCTTAACAGGCTCTCCCGCGTCGGGCAGTCAGACTGCGGCTTTAGGGACAGTTAGCTAAGTCTTCCTCTGTGTTAGCCACGGAGTCAAGGAGAGAGATTGGGAGAATCAATAAGACCAAGCCAGCGTGGGGAGAGAACGTTCACTCTCCATCAGGATTCCTGGCAGCTCATCAGGAGGCCTGTACCGGGAGGTCGCGGCTCCGCCCGCTTCTCTCTCCGCCTCGTTAATGGGTACGCGGCTGCTAAGTGACTTGGCGGTTGTGTTTTTCAGTTTTCAGGACTGTATCTCCTGTCTTTCTTCACCATCCTCATCGGGCTGGTGCTCTACTCCTCCACCTCCACGTACATCGCCCAGGACCCCCGGGTCTACAAGCAGTTCCGCAATCCTTCGGGACCGGTGGTGGACTTGCCGACCACAGCTCAGGTGGAGCCTTCGGTCACCTACACCAGCCTGGGCCAGGAGACCGAAGAGGAGCCCCACGTCCGCGTGGCCTAGGACGAGGCCCTCGCCGCCCACTGAGGACCCCTCCGCGGCCGTGTGTTCGCCCGTCACCTCTGTTGTGTACGTAGAGAAAGGTATTTATTAGGTGCGGTTTACACAGGTGGACTGCAAGGTAGCAAATCCGAAAGCCTGGGAAAGGCACAAGTTGAACGTCACGGGAGACGCAGGCTCTGACCCACCTGACTTGGAGAGATGTCTAGCTAGTGTGTATCCCCGTCACAACCCCCTGCATTAATTACTGTGAAAAACTTTGAATCAAAAGCAAGTATTATTATTTGTATTATTACTGTTACTGTTAGTACACCGGCTTTCAGGAGGAGGTTTTGCACTCCTGCTGGGAAGTATCGCCAGACCCACATGTAGTGAACAGGAAGCCCACTTTTCTATGGCAAGTCACTTTTTAAGGATCATACTTTATTTTTTTTGCACAGTCCGTGCGCGCTGCATGCCACAGGAGCTCCACCCTGCGAAGCTGCCTTACCCTAGAGACCTGGTGGCTAATGGTTTCCTCTGTCACCTGTTGGATTGCCTGCTCAATAAGTCCTTTGTGCTGTGACCCTTGTGGGGAGTGGCAACTGACCATATAATTCTCTATTCTAGGAATAGATATAAAACAAACATTTTAGCCTTTTTATATTTCCATCTCTGATTACTCTAGACCATTGCCTTTCTGTCGCGCCACGTGATTATGCTAATCAAGTCCCTGTAATAACAGCATAAGGAATGTTCCGTTTCTGTGGCTCATGGAAACCCCAGAAATAATATCCTTTGTGTTTAGAGTAACACATTTTTTTTAATCTTTCTGCTCCTCTCTGTGTTCTCTCTTCAAAAACTAGATTTGATTTTCCTTTCCTTCCCCTAGATTTCTTTCGTGATAATAGGGAAATCAATCAAGGCATTGGATAAAGCCATGGTCCTCTGCCCTCTTAATGGTGTGACACCCTTTTTGAAATATATTGGCATGGAAATTACCTAAATGTGAAGTGGCATTGATTGTTTGGCCTCCTAGCAAAGTCAGGCTGCTGATGTGGGGCCATCTCTGACCACAGCTCGATTGATCTGGCCACTTTGTAGTGGAAAAAATGTCGCCAGTGAGAAAGTCTGGCTTTTTGGTCATATTTGGCATCCATTCAATAGCTGAATATATCAACACAACATTCTTATAGATAAAAAGAGTATTACAGGGTCCTGATAAGGCTTTGAGGGGTATGTCCCTAGTCTAACTTTCTTGTTCTTAAAATAGCCCCCCCTTTTTTTTTCAAATACAGAAGGCCAAGAAATACCACAGACCTCTATGATATACAATAGATTCTACATGTCAGAACCTGCAATAGTCTTTACATTTGGCTGGCTTCAATCCCATTCAAAAATATCCTCGACGGAGTTACAGGGTTTGTAAAGGGAAAATAAATGTTGATTAAACTTTGGGCAGTTCAAATCTATATATCTTAAGCAAGCAAAGCAAAACACCAGTGGGGTCTCTGTAAAGTAGAGAAAAAACTGCTGCTTAGTCAGGATTTCCATGGTAGCCTGGCAGGCAGAAGCACCCCATGCTGTCAGTCAGCACCCATGTGGCCCCTCTGCCTGCCCTCTCCCCCCAGGGGCAGGTAGTCCTGCCCTTGGAGATGGAACAGACAGACTGTCTTCTCTGATATGCAGGTTTTATGGTCATCTCTGTACGGCCCCCTTAGAAACAGTGTTATTTTCTGTGGGGACCCAAAAAAAAAAAAGTTAAAGCTGTATCAAGTTAAAACAATTTTGCCAATGTTTGCTCTCTGCTACCTTTTAAACCAATTAAATACCTTTCTCTGAATATTTTGTCCATTCAGATCTGAAGACCTTTAAAGACTGTGGTTTTATTTTTGTGTTTACATTGGTTGGCATAATTTGCTTGATTTATTGCATTTTTAGTATTTATTTTAAGCCAAATGTTTTAGTCCTTTTTTATTCATTTTTATAACACTAATTTGTAGATGCTTAGTAAAATCCTATAAGAAACGAGTGGATGAAAGTATTTCCAAGTTGATTCAATGGACTGGGAGTCTTTTTCTTAATTTCAATTTCAAAAAGGTTTGCAATCAGTGATGGCTAAAAGTTGCCATCTGAATTATTTTCTAGGATCTTTTAATTGACTCCATTGTATGGAAACCAAGTGTGAATGTTAAAGTGAATTCACTGTATACCCTGTATCCTCCAGTGTCCTTGTACACAAGACTTTCTTGTTACTGGGGTACCTCACCGTGTTGGTTCTTCTCCATTTAGAAAGGCTGATAACATACCAAATTGTCCGAGATAAGGAGCTCCAGATTGACCCTTCAGGGAAAAAAAGAAGAGAACAAGAAACAAACTTTTTCTGGGTAAAAGCATCAATCCTTTGAGAGTAAAGTGGGAAAGGACATCACTAACTCCAGCTGTTTTCGTTTCTGAAATTTCATAACCTCCGTAGACACCAGCAACAATTTCAGTTTTTCAGCCCACCACCACTCTCTCTCCTCCACAAATGAGACTTTAGCAATTTGTATAGAATTTGGTTGGGTAAGCAAACCATAGCTCTCCTAAACCTCACGAGAGGAAAGTGGTGGTTCTCACTAACCCAGTGAAAACTTGCCCTGAGAATAGCGCTTGCCCTGGTCACACCTTCCCACAGCTCTAAACTCTGAAATCCGCGACCAGGTAGACCAAGCAATGGAAAAAAATTGTACCACTGTGTCCCATGAAAATGTTTCAATGTTTAGTTTAGGTATTGCTAACTTGTGCTATTAACCTTTTGACAAGCGTGTAGAGTTGTTTGTTTGGGGTTTGTTTTTGATTTATAGCCATTTAGTAGTCCCCAGCTAGCTACCAGTACAGATTTTACCCCATGGGTAGGATTCTACTGTCAAGCCACATAACAAAGCACACTAACCCAGACACTGCAAATGGAAAATACGAACCAAAAAGGAAATTTACACCGATAAGTTAAACAAACCCTCCATTTTTGATATCTGCATGCTCCCCTATGGACTGGCTGTGGCAATGTAATGCCTGTATAATGTTTTCAAATAAAAATAAATGCTTTATGAAAGCACCGAGTTCTTGGTTTTTCTTGAGTGTTTGCACTATGACAACCATGGAAGCTGCTCCCATGGGGATGCTAGAAATAGCAACGAAAGTAGATAGCAGGGTACACGTCAAAATAAAAACCGGCAAGAAAATCTTTCCAAATTAGGAAGGGCCCAGTTGGTCTCAGAGCTGTAGCTTCGAAAAGCCGAATTTAAACATGTTTGTAATTTACAAAATTAATTAATTATCAGGATACTAAAGACCGCTCTGGAGCTACATCCCCTAAGCCCACATTTAAAACACATGGAGGACATAAATTTACCCGCAAGAAGCAGTTTCTTATAAAGAAGAAAGTTCTGCGTATGCTGCCCTGGGCATGATGCCAGATGTAAAGGAAGAGCAATCTTCCAGAGCACGTTTTAGAACATGTTTGTGTTTCTGCTCTGAACTTAAACGATATCTTCTCATGGTCCCCACTCCACTGACTGTAGTCACCCAGCACTCTCTTAAATCCTTAGAGATGATTGTATGTAAATTTACATGTTCTCATCATTTGTGTTCCTAATCAGACCTCAAAAATTAAACAAGCTGAAAAAACAATTTGAAATCTTTTTAAGAGAAAACCATTCATTTTTCAGGAAACAAGGAACAGCAGCAAACTGATCTTTTTTAAATCGCCCTTAAGTACAGATCCATTGTGGTCTGCTTTGGTAAAGAGAACAGCACAGTTCTTAACATCAGCAATTTGCTTGGACAATGTGACTCAGTTTAGAAAAGCTTTTTCCTTGAAAAATATAACTTTTCTCTGAAGTATTTATTTTTATTTAGTAAACTCTTTGAGCAAAATGAAATACAGCTGAACTTCAACCCAGCCTGTGTCCAGATGTCCAGCAATTCTAAATTATTGGGGTTCAAGTAGTATGCATAATAAATGTATATGTCATGTTTAGTATGTCTTCCCAGTGATTTATAATTTTCTTAAGAGAAAGAACTGGCTTTCCTAAATGCTCAGAAGTTCTTGCAAAGGGAAGATAAGGCAGCACTTGAATGGTTTTAGTGATTATTAGCATGAAAAAAAGAGGAACAAGTAAAATTCACAAGAGAGCTGTAATTTATTGTGTTGTCTTGATGGCCCACAGGAAAACAAACTGTAATGTCTGCAGCAACAGGAACTGGAATCAGGTCCCATTGATCTATTTCAGGCCCAGCAAAACCCCCTTGCACAGGGAAGGCTCTCACACATCTTTTTTTGAAATGGAATCGAACTTCTAAATCAGAAGTACAAAGTATAAGGGTAAGATATTCTATTACAACATGTTCCCTTTTTCCTTCTACTACCCCTAACTGCTTTTTTCTCTAAAATTCCTGTTCTTGGAAAGGAAGAAATCACAAGATCCACTTAAACTACCCTTGAATTTTTTTTTATAAACCCCTAAAATGTTGGGCTATTCCTTCAGGTTGGCCCTGGGATTTTAAAAAAAACAACCAAGTGAAGCTCTTTTTTCACTTACAAATAGCGGTTTTGAATTTATAACATTGCTTCTTAATTATGTACACTGATCTTTTTTTCTTCCTTTTTTCTCTGATTTCTTTTTTTTTTCTCCTTTTCTTCTACAAACATAAACAGAGGGCTCACTAAGGGCCACCGACGCAGTCTCTGCCCTTTATTCTCTATGTGGTCAAAAATGTTTAATTCAGAAAAAAATTATAATACAGCTGGAAAGCCCTGCACCTACCAGATGGCCTTTCATTAGCGCCTGAAAGGACAAGCCATTGTGCGTCACTCTTTAGACAGCCAGACAAGTCGCCTCCAAACACTACTGCAGCCTGATTAACAAGGAAAACTAATGATCGGAGGGAGGAGGTCTCTGGGAATAGACTAAAATTAGGGGCTTCCATCTGGATAGACAAAGGCCTGGTGTAGATAAGACTAAATCTATAAAAGCACGAAAATGAGCTTGTTCACAAGGCCTCAGCGTTAGAGGCTGGGAACCATCCCATAATGCTTGACTGGTAATTTCAGGATAGATAAAGATAAATATTACTTTACACAATGCAGAGTAATCTTCCTGAACTCATTGCCCCAAAGTGATGGCACTGGCTGGAAATGTGTTCTGTCTTCTAATAGCCGAGAGAGCCACAACAGGGCGTTTAGTAGGCTGTGCAATTCATCATCCAGTCCGCTAAGCAAGACTGTTAACAATTACGCCTGGACAACAGGTATACAGACCCAGTCGGCTGCAGGCGGACCTGGTTGTGCGGCCACACAGGGCTTTAAGAGACATACACCAGTACATCCCCCACCCTGGGAACTTGGCAGTACCGTGGATAGTTACGTCTTCCTGCCACTAGATGTCACTGTCTGAGGTGAAACATCAGGGTGAGCACCTGCCCACAGGGATGAAGCTGCTACTGGCGTCTTCTTACTTCTGGAGGGCAGCTCCAGCCTAGGTTCTCATCTTACTCTTCAGTGGCCAGGGGTGGTGATGTGAGAGGAGTTCCGGTGGGAACATCTCAAACATCTTCACCACCGTTTCACAGCTTTAAATGTGTAAAAAAGTAAAAGCAAGAGAGAAACGTGTGAGGCTGAAGGAGGCAGTGCTGCTGGAATTATTCGGAAGTAAATTACATCGGAAGGCAACACATCCATACGTTTTGAGAGATTCTGAATGACAAATAAATGCGTGCGTGTGTGAATGCCTCTTCCTCACGGAAGGGGGAAGTAGACTCCTAGGTTCCTTGTGGGATCAAAAGCACTCTGCAGTTCTGCATCCAGCATTTTCCCCAACAGCGTCCTCAAACGCTACTTCTGGGATTCAGGACTAAGAGGTGGAAACATGGGGTGAGACCTATTTCTGTGCAATGTTGGGTCTTATTCCTGCTTTTCTCTTGTCTCCTTGTCTATGTCGGCAAGGGGAATTGCTTCCATATACCTGAAGAGGTTTGATAAATTTTAAGTAATAGCAATAATTGCAGTTTCACAGATGGCTGGCCACTTGCCAATTTCACAGTAAACTAGAAAAGCAATAAAGAAAATCTACTTGTTCTTAAAATGACTACTTTTCTAAATGAAATTACTAAAGAGGGAGGAAATGGGCTAATCACTGGAATAATCAAAACAGTCTCATTATGGGACTCCCTGTGAGCTTTTGTTTGAATTCTCTAATGTAGTTTTTGGCATTAAAGAGGATTTTAAAAGCTAAATAGGTCACACACATGCATATAAATGGTTGAGTGAATCACATAAGTGCTTTATGGGCCCCACGATTCTGCCTATCAGGCTGCATTTTAATTAAAAGGAAAACCGTCAGGGACAGAGGACAACTTAATGTGAGGAGTTTGGTGTAGTTGTTGAAGACTGAGCCTTCACTTGGCATTCAGTTTCAGTTCACAATTATGACCTCCAAACAACAGTGAAGTTCATTTGCATTTTAGACACAAGCTTAGACACAGAATTTGAGAGCTGAAGGGAACACTGGAGATCATTTCGTTCAAAATCTCAAGTCGTTGTGTGGCATCTAAGGGTGGAGATGGTTTAGTTGAAGAAACGATGTTTAGGCAGGAGAAGCTACAGCCTTGTTCACCATCGGCAAACTTCTGACAATAACAGCACAGTGTGTGGTACTTCAGCGAAAGAGGGGCTCTGTGACCACCAGAGACCAGGGCCAGAGAGCTAATGCAGATCCTTCCCGTCATGGGGCCTGGCAGCTTGTTAGGCAGCTTGGATAAGCGGTTCTTAGGAGGAGCCCTGCTTCCAACCAGCTCCACAAATGGGATTCCAAAGAGGAAAGAAAGGAAAAGCATCCAGTACGTGCCCAAGGTAGACTGCCTTTGCCCTTCTGGATTGAATCCATCCAGGCGAATATGCAGATGGGAAATTCTCCCCCTGCTGCTCCTGTTCAATACACAAGTGTAAGAGGGGTCCTTGAGCCCCCACTTTCCCCCCTGCTTTGCCCAGGAGGCTCCCAGAACCAGACACACTACAGATAGACTGCAGCGGTCCACCTGTAACGCTGTGCTAGAGTTGCGAGCTCACTGCTTCCAGTCACCCACAAGCGGTCACTCCTATATTCTCCAATGACCTATGGCAGGTCAGCATCACTAGTGAGGCCACCACCCTTGGGAAGCAAGTTACTTGCCACTGAATGAAGGCCAAGCTTGACTTGAAGATGAAGGAGCTTCTGTTTCCCTCCTGAGTACTGACACGACATAAACCACTCGGTCCAGTGGCCCCCTGGGATGCAAGGATGAAGGGAAATAAAAGTCATGGAACAAGAGATCATGATAATTGGAGCTTTAAAATTTTAAAAGCAAAGTTTGCCCCTGCCTCCCCTGAGACACCAGAGTCTCTTTACAGCCCACAGGGCTCTATGGGGCCACCACCCTCTCCTCCTGGGTTAACGGGGTGACAGCGCCCTTCTGCTCTTACTCCTGTGGGTGTTGAATGGATTGCGTCTGTTAACAATGCAACCTCCTTGTCTTGACTCTTGACATTGTGAAGAAATAGACTTTTACGTTCTAATGCAATTTTGATTACTACAGCATCACAATAAGGTAGAATATCTTTTTAAGGTATAATGTAATTCCCATCTATTTCTAATGAGATTGTACTGGCATCTGCTTTCTGGCATCCTCCTGTCTCTGTCTGCTCCTCCTGAGGTGACTCCCTAGCTTCACGGTAGTGTCCGCATCTGCCACCATCTTCTTGGCTTGGTCTTCCTACTTCATTCATTCATTCTTGCTGACTGCTCCTTCCTACTTCATTAATTCATTCTTGGTGACTGCTCCTTTGAGTATTTCAGGAAAATGGCTTTCTTCACTTTAGAACTCAATGATATTTGATCTTTTGTTTTTAAAATCATTTAAGAAAAAGATACAGCTCCACAGAGCATGAATAATTATATCTTAGATACTGTGTGTAGGCTGTACACACATTTGTTTTAAAAAATTGAATTAGATTTTTTAAATAACACAAAGCATATTCATTAAATGAAAATAGTCTAGGTCCTAAATAAAAATGCTTTT